ACACTGAGCCGTTGACCACTACCCTCTGGATACAATCACGCAACCAATTCCTCATCCACCAAACAGTCCACCCATCAAATCCATCTCTCCCCAATTTAGAGAGAAGGATGTTGTAGGAGTCTAATCAATACATGCTGCTCCAAGAGCCAAGCAATCCCAGCCTGGTTTCCTGAATGCACTTTTGGCTGAGGCACCTTTACTCTAAACAGAGAGCCAAGTGAGGAACTGAAGGATCTCTAAAAATGTTAAGGCAGCAAGTTCTGCTACGGTCATTTCTTGACTTCTTTCAGCCCTGGCTCACTCCTCTCCCATTCATGTGATTTAAATTGCTCTGCCTGGTCACCTAGTACTACATGTATTAAACTACTGGAAGTGGTGATGCTGGGGAGGGCAGAGGGAGGGTGTGATATTATTTGTAAAATTTTATTTATCATTGATTAAAAGTAAAGCTTTTTATTTTTTTATTTGCCTTATTAGTATTTATCTGAAATATTTGTATTCTGCTAAGTACTCAATTATCTCTCTTATTTCCATTGGATGAAAAAAATTGATTTATATTATTAAAACAATGCAAGTATTAGTTGCAGGACTTTCTTAATCACAGATTCCCAAGGTCTCCCTCTAGAGGGAGTATCGACACCAGAAACTGAAACTCAAAAATTCACAATCTACAATCAAACAGAAAATCATTAAACTGCAGAACAAAAAACATAGAACCATCTACCACAGAGGAAACTTAAATTAATCAGTACTTGTCCTGAACTAGAACTAAGATTGAAACACTCAAATATTCTGTAGGCTATTTTGGTATATTGTCATATCCTCTTCATTTGACAAATTAATGACTGAGTAGCAGAAATCAAATTGTTTTAATTCTGTCAAATCACTTTGGCTTTGTCACTTTCATTTAATATAGAGTTCTTTCCCCCAGGCCTCCTGACATACGATAAAGTTGATAATACTGAATTTGCACGTAGTATAAAAAAGAATCAAAACTGGTAGATACCAACCTGATGAAATGGGTCATCTCTATATTCTTTCTTCACACATGGATTCACTTGAGGGCTTTCTACATCTGTCTCACTGGTACAGGAAGAGTGGCACTCTGCACAGTGTAAGAGGTCCTCCCACAGCACATCTTCGGTTTCAGATTCCGGCCTCGCACTCTCAGAATCTTGTCTGGAGCTTGAACACCGAGAACTGCAGCTAGTACCTGATTTAGGTGTATCCTGAAATTAAAATATGCATTGGAATTAATGTAGATTTTTTTATTGTACATTGTTTCCTAACAGAACAGTTACAAAGTTCAAATTAGTGAATCCGTGTTTATCTGGTTTTTATGTTCCAATCCATTAGCTTTCTCATCAGAAAGAATTACATGTTTATTGAAGGAGTGTCTAAGAGGTTGCACATTTTTAGACACGGTACAAACAAGTAACAGCCCATGGGGAGGGGGTCACATAATGAAGAATCAAATCATATTAACTATTAAAAGGAAATACCTATTTAACAGATTTTTAGAATTGATTAAATGCAATAAAAGAGGAACTGACTCTCAAAGTCCCCTACAAATCACATTCCCCCATTGTTACTACTAACTACCTTCTCAAAGGCAGAGTGAGCTTATTTAAGACAGTTATGCATCGGGCGTAGAGAGGAAAAATCACAGAATAATTAAGGTTGGAAAAGTACCTTCACTACGGGGTACCACTGAGTACTGAAGTTAATAAAGTAAGAGCATTAAAAAAGCTTGCTCAAGCAACAATTAAGCTGACAAGTAAACACGAAGATAAAAGAAAACATAGGACAGAAGTTGAGAGTATATCCACTGACTTCACTCATTTATTTTTTTTTTTTAAATACAAAGAAAGCTTTCACAGATTTGAAAACTATTGTTTCATTTCCTTTGTAATCGTGTGGGGGAGGCGAGTTGGTAACAACAAAGAAAGGCTTCCTCTTTCATCACATCAGTCAGATAAGTAAACGGGAAACAAGTGTAAAATATTACTGCCAAAGCTACACATGGAGCAAATTTAGTCTCTTCAGTTTCTGAAGATATCTAAATAGTCTTCCCTAGCTCTGAAGCACTCTATGCAAGAGAAAATATATTTAAGCTAAAAGCACATTGACTGTAATCATGTCTTTCTGCTTCCTCTTGTCAAGCACCACCAGCTGCACAAGCATAGAGTCAAGAGACATCTTCTGTAATATGAAACAAACAGTTCCAAGTATCGATCTGTTCAGTTATCCTAAACCAAAGGTTTAATGCGTAAGGCATTAAACACTCAAATCAATTAGCCTTCTGCATCTTTTTAAGCAAAGTCTGTGAGAAACAAATTAAAGAACAGAAGAGAAAATTATCTAATAATGGTTTTAGGCAAAGCATCAACTTCAAGGCTTTGCAATTGTTGTCAGAGAAAGCAGTATCTGAACCCTTCTAAGAAGACATTTCTTAAATGAAGTAGAAAGCTTACTTATGAGGCTCCGCCTATTAAACCCATCTGTAAGTGGCCAGAACTGAAATTACTCTTCACACTCTTTTCTTAGTCCTAGTGAAAAAATGGCAATACAGCCTTAAAAAAAAAAAAAAAAAGAGTTCCATACATCTGCTAAGTTGCATAACATTAGGAAAAAAAAGAGCGTAATGTCATTAAAATTATAAACAAATGCACAATAATATATCCCTTTCTCTTTCAATGTCTGAGTCCTTACAATTAAGGACCCTGCTAATATGGAATCTATGAATTCCCCTCTTCTAAGCTATGATGTCATCAAGTCTCTTAAAATGTCAATTTTTATGCATTAATATTTTTTTGAGTTGTCATAACAATAATTTAAATGATTGTTTCAATAAACATGAAGGAATAAAAACCCAGATGTAGATTCAATCAGATTTCTCCACAGGAAGGCTACTGAATCCAAAATACTAACTAAATGAAGACAAACAGCAGCACTAGCATGATGAAAATTTGCATATCACCAATTACTACTGTTTCTCTAAAAAACATGTTTCCAGAGAAGATAACTGGTGTCAAAAGAGGGCAACAGAGCTGGCCATAACCTGCCGCAAGATCTACAGAACATATTCTAGGCTCCTTACAACAAAGTGAAAAATAGAATGAAGCTCAAACCAATTATATAAAAAACCTCTTAATTTCAAAACACTGTCACAAAAAAAAAAATCTCTGCCCCCCACTCACATGACTTCCAATGAACAGACTTAAAAAATCTTAAAACCCAATATAGGAGAAAAAAGGTTTGAGGAAAATGTATCTATTCAATAAGAAGCCAAGAGGTTTTAACAATTTACAGAAAAGAAGCAATGGAAAAGAACATACCTCTAGAGGATAGTGTTTCTTATAATGGTGAGATTTCCTGTTTCGAAGTGTGCAATCACTAGAAGCGCGTTCTACATTGCGACGTAAAGAATATCCAGTTTCAGGCCCTTCCTCACTAGAAACTTCATCTGATAAATTTGTCACAGTCCTGTGAATATCCTAGTGAAAGACATTAGTATTAGTAATACATACACTCATACTTAATAGGTCTTGTTCTCAACTACTGAAATCAAATTTCTTTCTGCAACTTTATTATCTATGATCAGTTAAAGCAGATAATCAGATATTAATGCATTTCCAA